AAAAGAAAGTGTTTATTTTATAAGTGGTCGCTTACAAGAGGTTGAAAAGAATAGAAAATAAGTGAGTCTGGTTGACTGTAGTAGAAAATAGGGTTCAGATAGTGGGAAGTGAGTTGAGCTGTTTGTGGCGGAAAAGAGGGAGAGGGGGGGGAACACGGGGAGGACCCCTTGCTATTTTAATGTGTTTTCAATTTTTTTTATCCTGCGTCCTGTTAGTTGAATGCCTGCAACAGGGTATCTTACTTTTTATTATTATTATTTTGTTTTAGAGACGTTGAGGAAGAAACAACTTTAAACAATAACAAAAACCAGGAAATAATGCATTGGATGATCTTCCCAAAGTTTTCGAATTTGAGAGCTAGGATTACAGAATATTTTGCACCAACGAACATTAAACTATTTATAAGGAAGACCCATGACAAGTTTACTCTGAGTTAACAGGAAGATTGAAAATGCACCAGTTACTACAGTTCAAAAAGTATTGGATTTGAACTTCAGACTTATACATCAGAAGTAGCGCTAACAGCAATGCCGAACAAGAATGGAAGAGGAACCAAACAAAGGTAGTGAGCTTAAAGGGACTGGTTCACGATAATGCGCATGTGTGAGTTCTGACAGTAGCTGATTGTTTTTCAACCAATCGGAAGCGAGTTAGATGCACGCAAGTAAATTTACAAAATTCAAATTAATTGTTCGCGACGCGAGAGTATTTCCGGGCATTTGGTTTGATTTTATTTATCCCCATAATTCAAGTTTATTCTTTGCTACTCCTCAGATATATGTTGCAGCCGATAAGAATAAGATTTACAGCCCTGTCCTGCTTTGAAACAAACATTTACCAACGTGTATTTTTACGAGGTCGTACCCACGCTAACAAAACAGTCACCGATCGGCAAACAAAATTTGTAAACAAACATCTTATTGCTGTTCTCTCAGTTCGCCTTATATAAACCCAGAAATACCTACAAATAGCGCCTGACCGGTGACAAAAACACACAACGTATGAGTATAAAGATTATCCTTAATTGAGCATAAATTTCAATTGCTTATCAGCAAATGAACAAATTCATTCGCGTTGCATCGGGTCAGTGTTCCGCAAAACAAATGTTATCGAGTAGCACACATAAAGAAACTAGATTATAAACAGAATATTCAGGCAATAATTTATTTTAAAAACATCAATTCTTAAACATATACGATCGTAAAGCAAAGATACAAGGAACATTTCAAGTGTACCAGATCGGTGAAGATCGCGCGGCCTGTTGCGGTATAACTACAGGTCGGAGTCAAAAATCAAATCAAAGTTGAACGAACTCATGCCTTTAACCACTTTCCAAGTGTCGTGTATTCTTTTCGTATGCCACACACTACTCCTAGAACCATACCAGATCGATAGGCTAAGCTTCTCTATCTCCAGAGACTCTTGAGAACGTCCTGTTGCCGGACGGCCACGATGCTCTTCTCAACCTCCATGATCAAAACATTATTTTTTGCGTCTTCTTAAAACGTAACCAGTCAAACGACACAACCACACGTTAATCACCACTACCGAAGTATAACTAGACCAGCCAAAGCGACGGATGTCCGAATAAAACGAAGGATTTTCAATGATTGTACCGGTAATGGCGATTTCGAATTTAGTGTTGACCCAACAAATTTATTCTGAAGAGACAAACGGCGCGCATGCGCATTATCGTGAACCAGTCCCTTTAAGGACGTGTAAATAGAGAAAGAAGCACAGGTCATAAGAGAGTGTGTTAAAAGGACATTGTTAACTGGAAGGCACTTTATTCTAAAAATTACTCAGAAATAAGCATTCTACATGTTAGACAACCATCAGAGATGAAAGATAAACAATGAAAGATTATAGTTTTCTATAGTTTTGAAATCATATACATTGTACCACGATGCAAGAGATAACCTCGAATCTCACATACTGTTTAGAGTGATGTGTGCAAGTGGAACCAAAGAGTCACTTTACAAGCTCCAGCAATCCCTCTGCCATGAATCGGTGACCAGACAAAGCCTTTTTGTGGAAACGAAGAACTTACCTTATTTCTATTGAGAAGATAAACACAATGACAAGCTAATGTCCTGTTTCGGTCGTGAATGTAAAGCCGCTGAGTATAATAGCCATGCTTTCTCTCTTCAAGTCCACTAAGCAATTTGAGAGGATTAATGTTGATTTCAAAGGGTGTGTACTAACAAATAATGGAAACAAGTCCTTTGCTGGTGGTGGTTGATCAGTACTCAATTATTCCATTTATCTTTCCAAGTTATGATGGTTCAAAAACAACTGTTATCAAACGCCTTACTTCACTTTTGTCGGTTGTGGCAATGGCAGCCTATGCCCATTGTCATCACAGCGCCTCCTTAATGAGCAACGAGTTAGGCGAGTTTCTAACAACAAAAGGAGTAGCTGCAAGTAAGACAACTAAATATTACAAATCTGAAGGAAATGGCCAAGTAGGGAGATACAATAGTATTATATGGAGAACAATGATAATGAGGTTGCTCCGCTTCTTCTTGTCACTTACAGATGTACTTACAAATGTACAATAATAATTTTATAATAATGAGCGAGTAAAGATAAAGAACCCTAAAAATGTTCAAGAGAAAAAAGAATTCAGAACCATATCAGATATGGAATTATTTACAGTTAAGGGAAAAATCCACAAAAATTTTTATATTGGGACGCCCTTTCAACAGGTTAATAATACGTCGTAGGGATTTTGTGTGCATGCGACAACCTTCGCTTACTGTCATTAAATACAGAGATCGTGCTGGATTTTAATGGCCACTTAAGTGGCGTTTAATTAACAAAAATCACTAACAAGTTGTGATTACAATAGCACACTGTTATAACGAAATTATAAATCACTATGACATTTCAACTCAGGAAAAATTAGGTGGGGGCAAATTACGCCCGCACAAAAATAAAAACAAAATTAGAAAACAACCAAGGAGGCGTTGTGGGGGGTGGTGGGACAAAAATGAGTTGCGATAGACTTTCACTTTCGCTGAGATGTGCTCGCTGAGCTTGTTCGCAGAAAAAGGGGAAGAACTTACTTGTCGCAGCCTTTACATAGCTGATGTCTCTCCACGTGACAAATAAAAGACCGTGTAATAGACCGCAGAGGCCACCCAGAGAACTGCTTATCGCAATGCCGCTCCTTAGCTGTTATCTACTGATAAGCTTATCTTTGGTCCCAACATAAAAACCATTATGTTCCTTCCGTTACATAATGCTG